GCGCTAAAGAGGGCAGGAAGAATGATGTCAGTTTGTTGACAAGATTAAAGGGATTCATTCCTGTGACTGAAGATTGGCATGCTAAGAAGATATTTCTTGAAGTAAGCTAGAAAATAAATAGTATTAAGTAGGGCTGAAACGAATAGTATTTTTCACTATTCGAATAATTGGCATGCTAAACGAACGAATATTCGAATAATTGAACTGTTTTTGCTAGATGATTAAAAACTACCTTTTTGGTGTTAAACTTTTCAAAATGATGCCAAACAGGGCTTCTTAGAGATTGAGAACCACTTTCCCTGGCCACAGCATCAGTATTTTAGTGAGTTGGTAAGTAAACAGACCAAGAAAGAGACTAAGAAAGCAGCCTGTGCAGGTGACACGCGGTGGGCGTGGCCGTTAATTATTGCAATAACCATAGATAATAGAGTAAATGAAAGGGATAGGAAACTTCCGTTGCGTGGGCGGGTTATTACGACCTGGGGGCGAAGCCCCCAGGTCGTTCCTATAATTGATTTCACCCACGTGCGATATATATATATTTGTATGTCAACACTTACATTTCTTCTATACATGTTGTATTGGAGAAATAACAAGCCTTAGCAACCACCCGCCCACGCTACGTAAGTGGGTGTGGTCACGGCAAACAAGATGGCGGCTTGCACATGGGACAAAGTTATGAGCTTTCTAACAGCGAAAGAACATAGAGATACTGTCTAAAGACTTCTCTAGAAGCATTAGAAGGTAGATAGAACCTTTATAAGTCTTAATAAGAACCCAGTTGTACTTGCAAGGTGGTGAAAACAATTATAGGAATATTTTTACACTAATACGCTTGTTCCATTAAGATTATTAGGTTGCCTAGCAACATAGGCAAGTTACCCTTCCCGGGCCTTTTCCTTCACTGTTCGGCGTCCTATTTCAACTCATAACTCTAAAGTGACTTGTGTTCATCCTCTGCAATAATAATTAAAGGCATTACAGATACCTCCCTTACAGTCTGTCTAATTTTTGAAGTAAAATAATATTGATAACTATGGGTAAAGTTTGATTTAGAGACCTGATACCTTCAATATTGTGGTTTTGTACCCCTTTTTAGAATACAAAAGAAGTAATACCAGAATTAACTATTACCAACTATTCTATACATTATTATGGAGGGCACGCAACATAAATGACTCCGATGACAGATTTGGTGACTGATTTATAATCAATTCAAAGTTTTTGCAAAGACCTTCGTTTTGTACCTTTTTCTTTACAGTTCAATGATTGGCACATTTAAATGTGATATGAAAGCAAAGCTTGATGTACACTTGAGGGCACGCACATACTTTAATGTATGTGACATAAACACAATTTGAGAAAAACCATTGTCAAGTTGTACTATTCCATAATGTTTGATAATTTTCTTAATAAATCCTATTGTAAAATTGAAAATATTCCTATAAATAGAGAAATTATCATGGTATGGGTAACTAGCATTTCCTGCCGCAAACGGAAGTTTCCTATCCCTTTCATTTACTCTATTATCTATGCAATAACCATTAATATTTAATTATGCGAATAGTTCGAATAGTAAAAAAACTATTCGAATATTGCTGTAACGAAGGAATATTCGAATATCTCAGTATTCGTTTCAGCCCTAGTATTAAGTATTTCATTCACTTTCTTTTAGATGATTTGGAAATGGCTCTACAACACCAAAAGCTTCCTAGAATAAGGTACTTTGTGTCATCTGAGGAATGTGATCGACCGTAGGAATATTTCAGCAACAGCTGCTGATGATTTTAATGCCTGTGACGATTTTTTCACCAGTGTTGTCCAGTGCCATGTTGTAGCTGCTGCAATGAACCATCTGGAAATGAATGATCGTAGTGATATGCCAGTCCATCCATTGTTGCATGACGGTTTGTGGTCAGAGGACAGTGAGAAGCGAAAGGATGTGTTGAATGAAGTAGCAAAGGAGATTGCCTTGTCCTACATGGACATTTTTGCCCACCACAATTTAGAGGATGACATCGATCATGATAATGTCAAGAAGTATGCAGTAGAAGTATTGTCTCAAGGGATGTTGTACATGGAGTATAGTGATAGTATAAGAGAAGGTGATGGAGAACGGATATTACGTTGCTGGAGGTATCTGATGCTTATTTTTAAGGCACGAAGACATACCAATTATAGTATTGAAGCATTTAATCTACTTGCGCAATACCATTTCTTTTTATCACAAAGACAAGGACTTCAACTACTATGGTCTCGTACTATTAATATTCATGGTGTACCAGGACACAACATTCCTTGTGACATGTATATGGAGCACCTGAATAGAGTATGTAAGGAGGCTGTAAAGACACTATCGGCTAACAAAACACCACAAGCCATACAGCGTGCTGCTAAATGTGTTGGTGTAATTGATGCTTTACTGGATGACTATGACAGGCAGTTAAGTTTAAAGGAGATATCTGGAAAGCATACTGTTGCCAGCACAGAANAGGATAATGAAATCCTCTTGCAGCATTTGCTGGAAGCCGAAATATTTTCTTACCACATAGGAAGGGCACATTCCTGTTTCAAAAACATACCAATCAACATCATTTCATCAATGAAGCATAGTGACAAAGTCAGGAAATGGATGATTGACCAGT